GGATTAGTCTCGACTGTAGACTAAAGATGCCCAATCCTCTAAATGTTTCATAATTGATTCCTTGAGGACCAGCTCCATGACTTTTCCCGGGACTGAGGTGAAGCTGACTGGCCATAAATTCCCCGGATCCTCCTTCTTCCCTTTTTTAAAGATGGGCACTACATTAGGCTTTTTCCAGTCATCTGGGACCTCCCCTGATCGCCATGAGTTTTCAAAAATAATGGCTAATGGCTCTGCAATCTCACCCGCCAACTCCTTTAGCACCCTCGGATGCAGCGCATCCGGCCCCATGGACTTGTGCATGTCCAGTTTTTCTAAATAGTCCCGAACCACTTCTTTCTCCACAGAGGGTTGGTCACCTTCTCCCCATGCTGTACTGCCCAGTGCAGCAATCTGGGAGCTGACCTTGTGCGTGAAGACAGAGGCAAAAAAATCATTGAGTACATTAGCTTTTTCCACATCCTCGGTCACTAGGTTGCCTCCCTCATTCAGTAAGGGAATATAAGAAATAATCACATGTTCTTGGCACATTGCCAGCCTGTTGAGCGGAAGCCATGGCTAAAGAATTCAGGGAGAGGTGGCGCAGGGAGAACCCCAGAAGAGGGGCTAGGGAGAGTTTTAACTTCCAGGTAAAGCTGAATCTGCAGATGGTTTGGCCGGGGTTTTTAACAGGTTTGCCCTGGTGTGGTACCTAGGGTGGTAGCCAGCTTTTCAGTGCAGAAAGTGGTCCAGTGAGTCAGTAACCAGCTCTTAGATGCCTTCCTTTCCATGGGTGTGTTTGGCTCTGAGGTTCACAGTGCTATGGGGAGAGTCTGTCCACCACTGGCAGAGGCTTCTTTTCCTGATTCAATAGGCTCGGAGCTCACAGTGCTAGCTCCAGTGACTGCTGTGGGGTTACTGCTGACTGAAATGCCCTGAGTGAGAGCAGAAGTAGGCAAGAGACGTTTCCTCTCCTCTGTGTGCCAGAGGTTGAGGAGGATGCTTAGTATAATACAGGGTGCTTCTCCACCAAGAAAGGCTATTGAGAGAGTTCCATGTATGTACAGATCTGGCTCCCCCTGTGGGGTTTGCAGGGGCTAGCCAATCTTTGGCTGGCAGCCTGGAAAATGCCGTCTGTGTTGGTTAATATCCTTGATTGGTGCTTGATTACTGGGCACTAGGAGCTACGGCCCAGATCACGTGATGTAGATGCTTTGTGCTATGCTCTCAGAGTGCTTGCCCGTGGAAGGGTCACCCCATTGCAGTGGGGATGCTGTGGTGGCACAGAGCTCATATAGCAACTGCTATGTCACCCCTTCACTGTGCTGTCCAATGTCACCCACTGGTACAGACACTCATGCATTTCCCCTCTGCCTTATGCCTGCCTGCAGCCCTGATGGAGTCTCAGGCTTCCAGCAGGGCTGCAAGACTCTTCCTGCATTTATCGCCCTGGGGCAGCTGTGGTGCCAGACACCAGCACTAAAGCAGGGAGTCTCTTCCCTGCTCCCCGGGCTGATACCCAGCCTACCTCCAGCTGACTGGAGACAGAAGCAGCTCTCTGCCCCACTCACTTTTCAGCAGGGGGTTTGGAGCAGAGGGAAATGTGGCTAGGTTTTGGTGGGATGAGGAGAAGCTGGAGGAATGGAAGATGCAGGGTAATGGGGAGAAGGATGGAGAGCCCCACCCGTAACAGCCCTCCAGGCTGCCTAAGGCTCACTTGTCCTTCTCTGCTGCAAATGAGCCCATTACCTCTGCTGTAGTCTGCCCTTGGACACTCCCTGCATTACCTCAGCCCCTCCTCCTCCTCTCAGGTTCTTCCCACTGCTCGGAAGGGGGAGATTGGTGATTCTCACTGGTGAGAAATTTCACACATGTAGCTGCATAAAACTTGGCAGCTATGCCACTCCCTGTTCGTGGCATAGGGGTATCACCAGGGGGTCCCTGGCCAGGGTATTCTTCCTTGGACAGGCCAAGGGAGAATTGGTTAGTAGGCTAATTGGCACTGCCTTAGGGTTCTCTGAGTTGTGTTGGGGGTGTGGCCTGGCAGGCAGCTGGCCCTGGGCTGGCGCCGTCGTTCCCGCTGCCTCCTGAATGTGGCTGTACACTCCTTGGCCAGAGGTGAGGTTCTGTAGATCTACATTTCCAGAGATGGAGTCTTTGGGAAGGAGGGAACCCTGGGCTATGGGCTCCCGACCCATCTGGCTGCTCTCTGTGCTGCAGATAGAACTAGATTAAACAGGTGGTGCTAATCTGCACTGTAATCCCTGAAATACCTGGAATATTCCCATCTGACTAAATAATTAATGGTATTTTGAGTTGCTGCCTTATTGGTCCCCAAGGACTTGCCTCTTTGGGCTTCCTGGGAGATCCCCTCAGCACATGTGAACTGTGACTGGGGGTTTTTCTCCATCATGGCACCAGGTGAAACCCTCCCAGTTCACATGCATTAGCTGTGTCCTTGCTGCTGCTGTTCCCTTACTGGTCTTGTCTGACAGAGGTGCCTGCTACGTATGTGACTATGGCTAATAACACTTTCATAGGTCCACATTGGGAACTGATACCCCATGAGCTAAAGGCTAATTGCAGGGTCTGGATGCTGGAGAAGGCTGTTCCCTTCTGTGGCATTAGAAGGGAACACAGAGCAAACTGTGCCTCCCCTGAGCTCTAACCCCCGTTTTGTTCCCCAAAGGATAGTTTGCTCCTCTCTGTCCCCTCCCCAAGGGTTCTGTGACCTTCTGAGCTTCCCAATGTTCTTTGTGCCCTTGGCTCCCCCATCTGTAGTGGTCCCCCAAAGATGTCCCCTTTTCCCCTGCTCCATGTCCCCTGGATTCACTGTGTCCATGTCTTGCCCAGAGACCCAGCTCTCTGGGGGGTGCTGTAATAAGGCACTGGGGCAGGGCGCATGTATGATCCTTTAGGATCTGCAGGGCATGCTTCCAAGGTGAGCTGTGCTTTGTGAAAACACAGCTGGGAAATGGTGATTGTCAGCCCCTTCTAACTGGGCCAGACCTGATCAGGGTTACGTGCAGCCAGCAAAAGACACATCTTGACCTCCAAGACCAAACCTGTGCCTCATCTCAGAGGCTGAGGTGTGAGAGCTGCTCAAAGGAAGGTCACAAGAACTTCTGCCAATGGAGAGTGTAGGGCAACCTAAATACAGGGGATGCTAGCAGCTCCCCTCTACTGAACCTAATGGTGACACCCAGATGTGATCTAACATGGTGGTTGTGCTAGGTTTAGGGGCGATGCCCACTGCAGAGCGTGTCACTTGGGACTCCTCTGCCTGGACTGATGAGACTGTGTAGTGGGGTAGCACTTGTAGCACTGGCTTGGATTCTGGGCACTTTTTTCACACGATTATACCTGAGCCAACCAATTTTTTAAAAATTGTCTAAATGCCCACCAGTTAAAATGGCTGCTGGGTTGTCTTGTTGTGTAATGTTGTTTCATGTCTGTCCTCAGTGATCTGTCTTTTCCCCTTTTCTCTTGTAGGGATTTGGATTAATACCAGTGTACAGCTCTTTCTGTAGCACTTTGGCACCTTTTCACTTACAGCACATAAAGGGTCTTTTAAAACCCATCTCTGATTTATGTCAAACTGTGCCCCTCACTGGGGCCAGACAGTGCACAGGACACATGGCCCATTTCAGGCCATGT